AAGAGTTGAATCATTTTGAGCTTTCCTAGAGCTAATCAAGTAAAAAGCATTTATCTTTTATTGGCTTTTCCATCCACAAATTGATATTTATAGACCAGGGTCTTGCAGAGGTCATGGACTGCAGATGGAAAAATCCCTTTTATTCCCCTTTTCTACTACATTAAGCACACGTCAGCCACTTGACAATACACCACCTTCCAGCCCCTGGAGCCACTAAGATATTAAAAACCAAACAAAATACAAATTAATCCTGCAAAGAAAAAGGGAACTTTGGCAATACAAAGCCCTTTACCCAGGGAAACATTTAACATTACTGTCACCAACCCACAAAATGCCCGTTGCAAGTGTAACGCTGCATTTTTGAGGACTGAAATCATTGATCTTTTGGATTTACAATCTTAGAAGGGAACATCTACCTCTACACTGATGCCCTATTACTCTGTAGCTGCTCCCAACGTAGAGCTTTGGAGATGGATGAAATATCAAAGTGAAACGGAGGGATCAATAATTTATTGCAGTCGATAAATACTAACCCTTGGCAGTGACCTTTCAGAGATTTTTTTTTTTTTCTTTTTAATTGCACTTGTGCCACTTTCTGCTTCTTTAGGATGGAGAAAAAGAGGTTGAAGAGCTTTTCTTATGCACCTCTTTCTACCTTATTACGGTGGCTACGTCTTCGCCTTGCTAAGGAGGATGAGATACCATCAGAAAGCATCTCCTGCAAAGACAGGGGAATGGGAATGTTGGAGATGCTTTTCCTGAGGTCAATACAAAAGCTGCTGGAAGAGCACCTGGGCATGGCAAAGGGAAAAGAGCAACACATGAGGTTATTTGGCTTATTTTAACTACCAACACATTGTACTCACGAGCTAAACTCCTCGGATAATTTTGCTAGAAGCAGGGAAAGTGGAGATGAAGCCAGTATAAAAAAAAATTTATGTGCCTTGCTGCACCTGCTGAAAGATCTGGGGTTGCTTTATAATTAAACACAACTCGTACGAGGCCACAATGTGATTTTGCTGTTGAGTGCCAGTGACTAAATTAAAATGTCTTCTTGAGAGTGATATGAAATGCATCACGGTTTGGCCTTGGTCTGCAGCTTGGCTGAGAAGAAGGGCAAGGAGACGGGATTGTTACTGGAGAGTGAAATACCAGAAAAAAAAGAGAATTAAGGGTACTCTGCAAAGGCAGAAAAATAATTGAGTTGCTGCATTTATGCTTCATTTTGAATGGACTAAGACAAACAAACACAACACTTCCCTACCCCTCAAACGGGATTTTTTTTAACCTGTTGTTTGATGGCTTATTTAAAAAAGGCAGAGACATCCATAATTTAACAACCCTCATAAAATGACAAGCTCCCCCTGCCTTTCACCGGCTGGGAGAGAGTCTGGCTTCCGTGTGGTGACGTAGCTGAGCAGGTCTGTCTCCTCACCCACTGTCTCCTCACCCACTCCATCAGCTCAACACCCAACAGGACCCTTCCCCAAACCCAGGGGAACCCAGTTACACAGACGCCCGCACGTGTGAGAAAGCAAAGCCAAGCAGCCCACCCTCTATCCTTGGCCTCTCGCACAGATATTTGAGGAAAATCAGAGAAAACTTAAAAAATTAATTAACTTCCTGCATGATGGAAAGCCAAAATGTGATGGTTTCCCACATTTGAGCATGATGGAAAGACAACACTGAGAGCAATAACCACCCACTCGCTGTGGGTGCTCTACATCAGCCAAAACCTTTCTTGGGTCCTTCTTTCTGCACAAGAAAAGCCAGTTGCTTACCTCAAACCCAAGCACAAATCTCAAGCACTTGGATGATGAACATCAGCCAAACTCCAATCCCCAACTTTTGAGCCCTCAAGCTGTTCATCATCACAGACAAGGTTGAGGTTTGACTCTAAGGAAGAGCAACACTTTGAGGAAAATTGAGCAAAACCCAAAGCCAGACGTTGGTCATGGTCCCAACCTTCTCCCCAGCATCCTGCAAACCACCTTGGTGGAAAACTTGCAGGATGCTGGGGAGGCACATGTCCTGTGCAAGACATGACAAATACCCCAGGGCCAAAGATGGGACAGATCAATATGATCAGTCTTCCCAAAGTTCAAGGCACTGTCACCTCCCCACGTCAACAGTGCCAACCCTTTCCCCTTTGGATTGTCAATTCAAGGACAATATTCTCACCCCAGCTTTCTGCTGGCAGAGGCTGGGGATGAAGCTGTTTCTGAGCTGACAGTTCCTGGCAACACATATGGCCATTTATAACTTAATTCCCTCCAAAACTTGACAGAATCAAATCTGATTTATATTTTAAACCTGGAAATTGTGAGCAGATGGGAAGAATGAGGTTCTTCATCTGAAGAGCATTTAACGGCACGTCAGAAAAATCACAACGCTTGCTCAAAAGCACTTGATATTCATCAAGGCTCAGTGATCCTTACTGCCATCTCTGGTGTTTCTCCCCATCCTTCCCAATTAAGAGCATCACGTTGGCAGGTTAATGGGTAACGCAACAGGCAGCTCCTGTAATGGACTCTTGACATCCTGAGAGGCAGATGGAAACGGTTGCCTCTATTATGGCACTTTCTCACCCCATTTCTTTGCCCGTTACATTTCCTGGTGGTAGCACAGCAGAAGTTCATTGCTCATCTGCATGCTTTGGAGAAAGCACTTGAGAAACGTGGGGCATCACAGCTAGGATTGGGCACTAACTGCTCCCCCATCTGGGTTTTTCATTTGGATCATCTGAGAGCTCAAGTGGAAAGTTCATCCTTTTCCAAATTAGTTTTATGCGCCACGTATTTCCCCAACATCTTCTGCTTTATTCAACCCCTGTTCTAACTCTTCACTGCCAGTGGAAACATATTAAAAAAATAAAATAATTTCATTCCCATTTAGATAAAACTCCGTATGGGAAAAGCATCACCAAATACCTCGAGTGGCAAACCCAACATCCAATGAGATAAGAGAAAGCTTTTTTTTTTTTTGAGGCTTGTAAGCCTCAAAAGGAATAAAATAAAAGGATCAAATCAACCTTAAATCATCAAAGTTTTGTCAAAAATAATTCTGGAAAGATCTAGGAGAGATATTCACCTCCTTCCTAGCACAGTGCCAACAGTGTTGCAAAGCTGCAACAACCAAATTTCTCTCCGTATCGAGCATCTGTGATAAAGAGCTTAATTACCTGTCCTTGATAGCTGCTTGGATCCTCAGGCATCGTTAACTGGAAATGGATTTCATGAGGCCTGGCAAATCCTGCTAAATTTACGATTATGGTTTATTTTGGTTAATATTTATGCTCTATTTAAAGAGAGCTGTAAAAACAAATAGAAAAGGATTGGCTGCACTGACATCTGCATGCCTTGCTTTTAGATGCTATTACTCGATCAATAATTAGATTTCAGGAGTGTGTTATGAGACATAAACTGTTAATTTCACTAAGGATGCTCTAGAAAGCGCTGTCATGTTTCCTGTCCAAGACACAGACCTCAGATGTGAACGGAGGGGAAAAAAAATAACTAAAAATAATTTATTTTCCACCTCCAGCACAGCAAAAGAAGCTGAGAAGGCACCGATTGGATCCACCACGTACCTGTGGAAGCAGCAGAGAGCAAACGATGCCCAAAGTGGCCTCGAAGTTGTCTTTGAGCCAGAGCCCCACGGCGTGGATGCAGCCTCGCACGTGGATCATGTTGAGCAGCTCCAGGCGCTGGAAGCAGAGTGCAGAGGAACATCACATTGAGATGTTGGGTTTGGGGGGAGATGTTATTTCTTCCATTTGCTTTTTCTTGCGAGCCATAGGAGAGGCAGGAGAAGTGTTTGGGAATTGATTTCTTGGATTGGACCTTTTCCCTGGGTTTTCTTGCCAAAAAACTGTCCCTGGGAGCTACAGACCATATGCACAGAGACACTGCAGCTCTGCTGTGATGCAGCCCCACCATCACGCCCAAAGGCCTCAAAATCAGCTTCTCTCCTACCACCAAACCTCAAAACACAACTCAGGACCAGCATTTCCTGAGGCTGATCTGGGAGAGAGCTGGTTGCTCTCAGAAAGGCCACGTCAAAGCTTGCAGGGACTCTCCACATGTGACACGAGCCTGCCCAAGCTCTGCGAGTTGAGCAACACCCGAAGACACCAAGGAAAAGCAATAAAAATGGATTTATATAGAGCTGCAGTCCCAGTAACAGCCATCCTGGCTGGGGAAGAGTTTGCCTGGGGATAACCAGTTGTTTTAGAGGGTTTGGGGAAGGAGAAGCAAATGTCGGAGGTACAAAGGAAAAAGCCAACGTTACCTCTTTATCGAGTGTCCTGTATCCACACAAGGTATTAACGACTTCTCCAGGGACCTGTGACCAGAGAATTGGTGAACAGACTTAGTTCGGAGGAAGCCAAAGGGGAAATACAAGAAATAAAAATAAAATGTAAGAAATAAAAGAGTTTTCCCAGTTGACCTGACCATTCGGTGTCGCGTAAGGCAAGCAGCTACCCTCAAACTTTGCTCTTCTACCACAGGCTTCTCTTTGCCCAAATGTGATGCTGAAACCATGCATGTCAGCACTAAGTTGTTGGTTTCTGTTCTTTTTAAAACCACTTTTCTCTCTGATTTTTGCTATTTTGAAGGATAATCAGGTTTTCCCAGTGATTTGAGCCGGGACCACCTCCAGGTCACACAAGCGTTTAGTAAAGCAGCTCTTTCAAACATTCCTTTGATTTTCTCTTTGTTTAATTCCAGTCACCTTTTCTAACAGCTTCAGTTGCGTCTCTCCTTCATAATAAAGGGAATTTCACAGGGATTAAATGTGTTGGGCTCTCCAGAAATCAAGAGGGAATTTCCCCAAAGTCCTGGAAGACTTCAGGTAGATACATAAGGATTTTAGACATCCCCAAGGCTTAGATCTTTGTTGACCAACAAAAATGTTTCAAGAGCGACCACTAATGAGAGAAATCCCATCCAAACGCTGCTATTCAAGACCTTTATGAAACAAAATCAAACCTAATTCCTCTACTTCTGTCAGGATGGAAAATGGTACATTTTGGGTTACAAAATGGTTTCTTGCTCATCCCAAACAAAGCAAAGCTGGAGAGTAGCTCCAGCACATCCTGACTAGTTGGGTACTTTGCACCTCTTGGGATTGATTTTCTTATGGAGGGTTTTTGGGGGTTTTTTCTGGCTTGTTTCATGGATCAAACAGCAGCTTCCACAACACCACATATTTCTAAAGGAGCCTCATGCCCATAAAATAATAATGATTACGTGAAATGATTACGCTTTCAGAAAGATGGCTTTGACAACCCGTAAAAGCTCCTGGACAACAAAACAAAAACATCTCGTGCTTCGAAGGCACAGAGATGAAAAAGAGAAATGTGCACATTTAGGTGTAAATTATGCTTCCCTGCAAGACACAGTGTGAAAGAAATGTGCATCTCCGGACAGACTCCAGCTGTAAATCTGCAGCTTGTTCCTCCTCTAATTGGCTGAGAAATTATTCCAGCGCTACCAAGAGCTTCTGTAACTACCACATTACTCACAGGGTTATCAAAAATCCCATCTCACTTCACTTCAAGGTGCTATTTACAAACTGGGCATAGTTAAGGAGACTAATTAGTCCCTGTGCATATGAAGATTTGCAGGGAAATCTGGAGATCAGCAGCAAAGCACCCATCAGCATTGATGAGAGAGATCTCATCCAGGGTTGGGACCACGAAATGAGAAGCCTTCAGCATAAGGGGAATTTGCAGTGTTCTAAAGGTAAATGCTGTTGTTTTTAGTGGTAAAAAGGAACTTGTACACGACCAAAAATCCACCTATTTGTTTTACATTTAAAAAATAAACCACTTTTCTTGACAGTTTTCAGTTGTCCTTGCTTTTCAGACTCACTTTCGTGGACATCAAAGGATTCTTACTGGTGACACACCATTGGTTTTTATCAGGCTTGTAGTTTAAACACATCTGGCTACAGCACAAATTCATCACCACTTTTCTTCCTTCTTGCATTAAATAACCAAGGATTTCTCAATTGTCTCCAGCCTTGACCATCTGCTTCAGTAATTCTCTCGACACCTTGTATTTGGGAGAAGTGTCCAAGACAGAAAAGTGAGGTTTTATCCTCGATTGACTTTTGTCAAGGTCTTGCATGCAAGAGAAAGTCAGAGCTGAATTGAAATTTTTAACATAAGACCAAGCAGAAGCTCGCTTCTTCCAGAATGCATTTTGATGCCTTCAGGGATCACAAAAGAGCAACACACGTGGACATTTAAAACCCACCGAGGGCAGAAGACTGCAATCCTTGCACTTTTTATTTAACCAACAGCTTTTCTCTCCAAAATCAGTGCCAAATGTCAGCGGTGACACTTCACAAGGGGTTCAGAGACACCATGATTGGCAGAGGCAGAGCTACACTGCGGCTTCGTAGGAGAAGGCACTGGAAAACCATTTAGAAAAGCACTTAGAGATCAGGATCCAGTCTCACACCCTCAGGTAGGTGCATATTTCCCCTTTCCTTCTTCCTGGGAAGACTTTAAGGTCTACAACCTCAGAGATGAAACTCTTCAAAATAGCCAAAGCATTTTTGGAGGATGTCTGCTGTCATTAATGCAACAAACCTGTCCTGGAAGATGCCCCAAGGGATGCAACGCAAAGCTCTTGGAGGGTCTTGTAACAGAAGAAGTCTTTTCTTTTCTATGGTTGTATTTAATGACAAGTTGAAAATTTATTGCAACCAACCTCCTAAGTCATGTTCCATGTTCCTTCCTTCAAACACGCTCGCTCCTATCAGCATCTTTTGTTCTTTCCACAATATTACATCTCCAAATGACATCTTCTGGTACCTCTCTACTTAAATCTCAAAGGTCCTCTAAGACAAAAGGATGCTTTGCTTTCCGTCTTTCACTCATGAAGTCACAAATAGAGAAGAAGGACACAAGAAGAGAAAGGTTTCTTGCCCCAAAAACTGAAGGATTTATAACTGATTGATAAAAAGGTTATTCACAGAAGAAAGACCATCGTGTTCATCTCTACCCAATGCAGAAGAATTCATACACATGCCCAGTTGGTCCTTGGTTATCCCTCCAGCTGCATGGCCCACGCAAGATCTTTTCTTCAGCTCTCAAGTAACATATTTTGGTGGCAAGAGTTTTCAGTGGGGCTTGTACATCACTAAGACCCAACCAAGTATGTCCAGAGTATCACACACAGGTACCTTCTTCATCCTGAGCTGGAGAGGTGCTTCTCCCACCTTCTCAGCCCACAAGGAAAACAACTTTGTCATTTCAGCAAATAGCAAGAAATAGAGACGTGCTGGAGGTTGTGGTAAATACAGTTCTGGGGGGTTTCACTCTGTTGTTTAAACTAAATTTTTATTTGCTTGTTTTGTGTTGCAGAGAGCAGAAAACTCCCGTGGAAGCTGTCTCTCTTAATCCATTTTAGGTACTATTGATATCGCATCGGGCTGATTTCTTAACCAAAAGTGCCCTGCAGTGCCAAAAATCAAATCTCTGAAGAACATCTATCTACCTGGTGAATGTTCTCCCCAAGAAGGAGTTTCACTTCTCATGGAGATTTAGATGCATTTAGTGAGGTCTCATGTCCCATAAAACCACTCTGGCTGTCAGAACCACATTCATTCTTGAAAAAAAATGTAGAGGATTTACTGTGGACTTTCCCTCCAAGAGCCGGCTGCTCCGTTCCTTCGCTAGAGCAACCTCCAGACCCAGCTTATTACAATGGGAAGCCAAAAAGTTGACTTGTTTCTTACCCTGTCTATTAATCACCTGTGATTTCTTGTATCTCCAATACTGCCTGATGCACTGAGGTCTTTCATTTGCCAAATTGTCACCAAAAACTGTGGGGAGAGTAAAAATACTGGAAAAATCCACTTGATTCTCTCCAACACATCCTCACTCATCACACAAAAGGACAACACATGAATTTCTAATTCCATCTTCAGGAGCTTTAAGATTCTTAATCAACGCCCTGATTAGAGACGACAATTATTTTTGCAGCTGATTTGCATGTCAGACTTCCACTGATAATTAAGACACCTCAGATTTCCCTCTTTTTCCATTAAATTCCAACAATACTAGATCCATGACATATGTTCCTTGTGCAATTTATAAAGCCTGAGGCACGGCCAGATTTCAGATGCAACATTGATACTCCTGATGCTCCAAACCCTGAGGAGGTTTTGCTACCAGGATGATAATTGGCAAATCCTTTTTAGCAGCATTTATAGCATTTCTGGTCGCAGCAGCCAGGATATTTGTACCTTTTTTCACCTGCCGTGGGCCCAGCTCCTGGCATTTTACCCACAGCATGTGTTAGGTTGATTGCAGCGAAGCGGATGGTTGTATTAAACAAGACGGTGTCAGAGCACTTAACTTAGTCTCAGCAGAAAAATGCTGCATGGGGGGAAAGTGTTTTGATTTTCAGCTCCAAAAATTAGCCCAGGAGACCCAAACGACTCTGCAAATCTACTCCCCGCCCTCTCCATCTCCATTCAGCCCAACTCACAGCCTTGCAAGGGCAGTTGCTCACGAGACTTTTTTTTATTCCACTGCACAAGGGTGGATCTTTATCCAAATAACTCTCACAGCCCCATTTTCATAGAATCAGACTGGTTTGGGTTGGAAGGGACCTTTAAAGCTCATCTAGTCCAACCCCATGCAATGAGTAGGGTCATCTTCAACCAGATCAGGTCTCTCAGAGCCCCGTCCAACTTGACCTGAAATGTCTCCAGGGATTCTACCACCTCTCTGGGCAACCTGGGCCATGGTTTCACCACTCTCAGCATAAAGAATTTCTTCCTTATTGTAGTCTAAATCTCCCCTCTTTTAGTTTAAAACCATTTCCCCTTGTCCTGTCACTACAGGTCCTGCTCAAAAGTCTGTTCCCATCTTTCTTCTAGGCCCCTTCAGGTACTGGGAGGTCACTAGAAGGTCTCCCCGGAGCCTTCTCTTCTCCAGGCTGAACAGCCCCAACTCTCTCAGCCTGTCCTCACAGCAGAGCTGCTCCAGCCCTCGCATCATCCTCGTGGCCTCCTCTGGACTGGCTCCAGTAGCTCCATGTCCTTGTGCTGTTGGTGGCCCCAGCACTGGAGGCAGCACTGCAGGTGGGGTGTCAGGAGAGCGGAGCAGAGGGGCAGAATCCCCTCCCTCCCCCTGCTGCCCTCGCTGCTCTGGGTGCAGCCCAGGACACGGTTATTGGCCTCTGTGCTGTGAGCACATGTTACCAGCTCATGTCCAGCTTTTCATCCCCAGTACCCAAGTCCTTCTCCACAGGGCATCACTCAATTCCTTCATCCCCCAGCCTGGTTTGCCCAACCCAGGTGCAGGACCTTGCACTTGGCCTTGTTGAACCTCATGAGGTTCACATGGGCCCATTTCTCGAGCTTGTCCAGGTAAAATCTGGACCTTTTCAATAAAACCCTCAAAAAACCTCCTCGTTAGGAGCAGACACCAGCAAACATGATCCCCACGTACCACTAAAACCCACAGTGACCAGCTGAGAAACGTGTCCTCTTGGACAGGAAAGCAGAAGACAACAGCTCATGTGGAACCATGCTGAGATGCAGCCAAGTCCTTTTAAGATGTTGTTATTTCTTTGCAAAAGGATCCTCCAGGCCATTTTATATCATGTGTTAGGTTGAAAAACAGGAACTTGGCATTTCTAACAACTCCACAGCATGATACAAATGTGATTCATAGCCCGGTGCTTTCGTATTTATTCTACATTAAAACTACCAAAATACACTGTAGCCCATATAGATATTGTTTTAATTTCTTGAACATCTGACATTGATGCTGTTGCAAACTGCTTCGTAAGATGGCAATGCAGTTCGTAAGAAACCCTCTAGAGCAGAAATGTGCAGTAACAACCAGCTGGAAGAGGGTGTTTTGCTGAAATATTGATTGAAATAAAGGCATTTTGGGTGCCTCGGCTGCCTTACCTTCCTGATACAGCACGTGTAGGGCACCCCGCACGCCAGCGGCCCAGTGCCATTGCAGGAGTGGTACAGGTTAACCTCCCAGTCTCGGTACTCATCACCACCACAGCAAGAAAACTGCAAAAGAAAAAAAAGAAAAGAAGATAAGGAGAAGATGAGATGCCCAGTTGAACAAACTTCAACATCTCCAGCCCACCAACTCACCCTCCTGCCAGCCTCGCCCTGCGTCCCCAACACCACTTTGCAACACCAGCATTGAGAGTTCCGATTATTTTCTGGTTTCCAGAGATACAAATTTCTAAATACAAATTTCCAAATACAAATTTCTAAATATAAAGTTGAAGCCACCATTTAAAAAAATTAAAAAGTGAGTGTTTAACCCCATTTATCCCTATTTTAGAGGCGTGCGGCAGTTACAGTCGCGCACACGCGTGTATTGAGGCATCCTTGCTTTCACAAGCCCAGATCTGGCTCATTCATGCCTCACTGATTTAATTACAGGTGACTAATTCATCCTATTCCCTGGGCACGCAGGAGAGATGGCTCTTTCAGTGCCTTGAATGAATGTATTTCTTGGTTCTTGAAGGCAGCTCAGCTACTTCGTGCCATTCGACAAAATGCTAATAAGGTTCCTCAGTCTAACAGGGATTTCTCTTCCCGTCAAGTTAAATTAGAGATCAAATGCTACAGCTACAAAGGGGAAAAGCTTCTTTTTTCTTCTCTTCGCACAATAGAAAGAAAAAAAACAAAGTTTAATGAAAGTCATTTTCTGTTCTGCACAGAATAAAAGTGGGCTTATTATATAGAGAGACATCCCTTCTCTTGGTAAACAAGCTTGAATCTTTACATTTTTCCCCAGGAAAGAAAAGCCTCAAGTGGGCAGAAGAGGTGTGTGTGTTTGATAAGACAGAAAAAAACCAGGTTTTCCCCGTTTCTTTAAGCACCAAGGAGCAGTTTTTGGGAGAGGTTTAACCCTGTGACCATCTGCTCACCCTGCTGATGGGCTGGGGTGGGCTCCTGGCCAACCCCAGTAGGAAAAGACATCAGCTCTTGGGGTCTTTGTGGCCTCCTCCTGTGCCAAAATAGGCAGGTACGGCCAGGAGCAGCCAGCCCACAGATGTACAAATATTTCCTCACTTCTTACCTTGAACTCCTCTTTGCTTTTAATCCTTTTAATCAGTGAGGGAGACCAGCTGGCAAAAGTTGCTTTGGATGGAAAGAAGAGGAGAAAAGTACCTGAAGGGATTATTTGCTATTGGTACCTGTTTGATATCCCCACTCTGCAAAGAAGTTTTTGCTTTTATAACCCAGCAAAAATTGGTACAAAATCCTTCCAACGAGGCTCACCAGCTGCTGGGAAGCCTCACCGGAGTGTTGTTCACTGCAAAGAGAGTTTTGGCCCAAACTACTGTTGTGCCTGGATTTATTTCTCATAAGCTGAGACAGACTTCAGCGTGGGTTTTACTTTCACGTGGGCTCACAGAGCTCAGAAAATTATAACAAGCAGAAAAACCAAAGAGAGCCCAAAGAAAGAGCCTCACAGGTCAGATCTGAGGAGCTCTCTGTGTCGAGGATGATCACTGCTGCCAGCAGTGAGATGTGGGCTCATTACAGCTAAAACCATCGCCCTCAAACGAGCCATGCTGCTGAAAGCTGCCTTTAATCTTCCCCAAGAAGAAAGGAGGAGGTTTGCAATCGCAACACCCTCATCCCTCCGAGCTTTACTTTGAGTTTGGAGCAACTCAGGTTTGAGCAAGAACTGCAGCCCTGGCAGCTCTTTGAAATTCTAATCCTGTGCTCAGCCAAGTGGTTTGAACTCTCCCTTTACACCTGAGCTCAGGAAACCATTAAAAAAAGATAAAGCGAGGAGCAGCTGAGAGCTGCAGTTACTGACTTGGGGCAAACCTGGGCTTTTGAGTCATCGTGGTCTCCAGCCTCGCGTCCAAGGGCAGTACTCCAGCAAAAATGAGTGATAAAAACACCTAAGTATGATTTTCTTTAGGGCAATTTATTTCCATATCTCCTTGCTTGCAGGCAGCCAGACCTAGTAGGTGTCGATAGGTAAAACCACATTATTATTAACCATTCTCCTGCAAATGTAAAATATTAATGTCTGGTGCTCTGGACCATCATTACTCGTTATTCTTACTGTGTGATACTGGTTTCAGGGTGTGAAGGCAGTCGGCTCTAGTTTAAAGCATCACCTGAGAGAAGGTTTAAGCAAAATTTAAATCCTAAGGAGCGTAGTGTGGTTTTGCCTGACCTAAAGAAGCCGTGTGCCAGCTCACCTACGCATAGGCAAGGTTTTTAACGGGGAAAATAGCAAGAATAACCACTAAATAGTGATAACAGGCTGCTCTGAGCTTGTGTTTTAGCAAAAAAAAAACAGGTCTGGGTGCAATCCCTCCAGACTGTCTGCAAGTTTTCATCTTCCCAAAGTGAACTGGGCTGCTGGGATCCCATAAAACCAATTTCCATCCTTTTCAAAGCAGTTATTCCTCTGCATTGCTGAGGTCCTACCCTCAGGATGAAGCAGCTCTGCATTTCAATCGCTGACGGTGCTGCAGTTCCTGGTTTGGAAATCATATGCTAATGTAAAAGTTCACAGCAATGAGCTTTTTCTTATAAAGCTCCGTCTCTTGCTACGAGATAAAATGTGTGGATGTTAAAAGACTGAACAGCAACCCTGTAAGTGGCCACAACTTTTTAGTACAGCGAGAGACTTTGAGATTAAGATCTTCCCCGGAAAACTTTTAATAAAAAGTCAAGTGAAGAAGTAAATGGGAAAAATGTTGTAAAAATGGGGTGAGATTATATGATAAATGCCTGATCCTCACTTGTTTGGAGATACAGAGACCTTCCCGCAAATATATCTGCTTTATCTGGAGATTTGTGGTCTAACCTCCTTGCCAAGGATGGCTCCAACATGTACTTTCCGACTGCTCGCGGCAGCATCCATTTATCATTCATACAAAGAGGTCTGAACTACAGCATCTTAGAGAGGTTGGAGTAAAATTTGAAAAAGTTTCACATCTTTCTCAGAATCAGTTGTGTCTTAAGACCTTCAGAGGGCTCCCAGGCTTATTAATGTGCTGGGCTGAGTAGTGATGACTCCAAGAGTCAAAAGCAGGTATTTAAACCAAGAGAGGGGAGCGTGGAGGGCACCACTGGCCTTAAATTCCAACTACATCAAAGAAGAAGCTTCTCCATCTCCTTTTCTTCAAAGCGAGAGATAAGATTCATGTATTTATGATGTTTCAACCCATAATGAACGGAGAGAAATCAGGCTGAGGTGAGAACGTTCAGAGTTCACCTGAAAGCAGCTTTGCCGGCAAAGCCTGGCTCTGTTCTCCAGAACCAACCCAGGAGATGTAACATCACCGCAATTTCCCTCCTCCATCTCCAGTTTTTTGGGGTTTTTTTCCCACTTTTTTTTTTTTTCATTTGCCAAAAGCTCCGAGCCGAGCGCTTCCCTCTCACCAATCGAGGGTAAACCAAATATCCTGACTCAAAACATGAGTAAGCCCCCAGATTCCCAGGAGTGGCTTCTCATCGGTGGTGGAAAAGCAACCAAGCTTCTCTGAACCAGCTGCAGTGGATAATAACTTCAAATCCAGGTTTAATTGGCTTTTCACTGGACCTGGGGGGATGCATCGTTGCTTTGCTAAAGCTCAGCTACCTTGGGTTTCAAGAGACAAAAGGGAAACCCATCTAGTCTGGGCTCAACAGTAGGAATTAGGAAGGCATTTTAATTTAATGCTTAATTTAATATTTAGTATCTCAAGCAAACTACGTGGTACATAAAAGACAAAGCAACAGCAGCAACGTACCAAAAGTTGGGTTAAAATAAATAAATAAATTTGCAAGGATGGTTTTATCCACCTGCAGGCTGGCTCGAGGGTGAGGGATGGATCCTGCCAACTCCTGGCAGGATCTAAGCGTTAGGTATGAGACAGAATATGCAACCACACACGTGAAAAAATTAAAGCAGACTATACCAAGCCCCAGTATTGGACACAGCTCTCACCAGTCCCAGGAGCAGCTTGGTCCCAGTGCTGCCCATGGAGAGGCTGGAGGTCTCCTCTCCTTCCAACTACTGCATGAAAACACCTTACCTGTGATTTTCCCCATTGAGTCAAGGGTTTGGCCAGCTACTGATGACACCTCGAATAAGGAGACTTACCTAAGGTGGCCTATCTAAGGGTCATCACAGCCCTGAAGCAGCTTTAACATGTTATTTTATTCCTCCACCTCTCTCTCTCCAGGTTGGGGTAGCTATCAAAAAGCCTTTAGGTGGTAGGCACCAGTTTCCCATCATTCCAAGATTGGGAACTATAAATATCCTGGCATGGTCCATGCTGTGGTGTGCAGCAGAAGATGCTCCTTGCAGGGAACACAGAATAACTCACTGAAACCCCCAGCAGGGTGGGTTTGGAGAGGAGCACAACTCAAAACCGAGCACAAAGAGCAGTCCAAACCAAGAAAGATGAAGATGTTCAAGATAGATCAAGCAAGGTGCCCCAGGGATGGGAATAAACTCAAAAAATACAGGGAAAACTAACACTCCTGCTTCAATGAGGCACAGAGTCAACCACTCCTTGAAAAACTTCACCAGCAGACCTCCCCAATGCCACCCCCCTCCAAAACTGAACCTTTTCTTGTACAAAATCCAAGATGTTCTTGAAGTCAAGGTCATCGTAATAGTGTCTGATGCCCTCCTGGATGTTGGAGTGGAAAACTGCATTCATCTGGGGACAGAAAAAACCAAAACCACAGCTCACACATGGAAAAGGCACCAGGAAAATACTGCAAAACATGACTTTTTTTTCATAGCAAGTGTTGCCAGTTGTTACCGGAGTAAGAATTTAACCCGCATGCTGGCATGAGTCTATTTCTTGGGGCAAAAATCAGCATTTTTGAGTTCTCAGGGTTAGCAGCATCATTTTTGGAGCTCTCAGCAGCACCTCTATGTTTCCTGCACATGCAAGCAGACCCACGCACCTTTACCCACCCCGGTTTTCCTATTAAATTTAATTATTGAGGTGACTTCTTTGAAAGCTCTCTCAAGCTCTCCAATCTCATCGACTAACACGATTTTAACCGCTGGCAGGGGAGTTTCTGCTGCATTAGGAGGGGCTGGAGGAGGTGAAATGGGCTGTGACAGCCAACATCGCTGGTTCCACGGTGATTTATCTGTGAGATGAGCTACGTGCAGGTGCAGCAACCTCATCAGAACCCTCAATCTCTCCTAATCCCAACAAATCATTCAGCGATTCAATCGTGCCCTGAAAGGGAACGGTGCAGCCGGGCTGGGGCTCTCCCTGCTGCTCCTTCAGCCCTATCTCCGAGGACACTTTGACACATCAGGCTCTTCATATTAAACACTAATTGAATCGAAAATGTATTTTACAGATGCCTGGGAAGCTTATTAATGAGCTGGGAGTGGAGGTTCAAAATGTCCTATGCAAAGCCCAGCGCAGGTTTTGTCGTTTGACTCCTGACAAACCGCCAAGCAGAAATAATAATGAAGGAAAAAGGAACTTTTTTTTTCTGATTTAGAAGCAGGGGGGGGAGAAGAAAACATTGTTTTTCATAATTCACTCTGACATGAAAATTAGAGGTTGGGCAAAGTGGGAACAGGGAGAAGAATGTGGGAAAAAAAAAAGAGAACTGAAGGCACGTCAGAGCAGCAAACAAAGCCTGCCACCAGCGAGGGATCGGGCAAGGCGAGCTGGAGAAACCTGCACCAAATCGCTCATGGGGAAGTTTATTAAAACGTTAATTCCCAGTTTGCCCACCACTAAGACCAATAGAACAGGCAACAGCCGGCTTTTACCATTTTCTGCTTGTTTTCCCCCCAGAAAGGCTCACCCCATGATCCTGTTGCTCTCCAAGAAGACGCCAGCCCGGAGGCAATCTCTGTAATTAAATCTTGATTGGAAGGTGGGAGATAAATGTTGTAGGGTTAAATCATTAAGTTCTGGTTATGAGACCTCTCCGCTCCCTTCCCTTCAAGGACACCAAACCCGTTATCTCCGGTAATCTCCCAAAACCCATTTGCATATCAATAGAGCCCATTTCAATGTTCAGTTGCTTGGAGGCCACTAAATTCATTCCTCGTCCCTGCTTATTTAATACAAAATCCAATTAAATATGTTTTTAGCAAGTTTAATAAACAACCTTTGTTCCAAACGCAGATTTGTGCCTCTGAACAATTTTAGGTCAAGTGGATTCAGCGCTTGTCGGATCTTTCTTTTCTCTCTCCCTCATTGTTTGATTTTTAATTAGGTTTTGATATTGCCCGTTAAATTTAAATTAAGGGACAATTTAAGCGCTAATGGTTTCTACTCAATCCAGGAGTTTAATCGCGAGGCTGCAATCCCCTCTCCTGATGGCACCAGTGTTTCCCGTCACATCCCTGCAGTGCAGGATGGTGCTGAGCACCATCATTGAGGATCAAAGGTGGAGGCAAGCAGAGGATTTCATGCTGAATTTCACAAAAACACAGACCCCACGTGGCAGCACGTATTGATCTTCTGTACATGGGAAGGACTCGAGCAATCTGATCTTCCTTGGAGAAGCACATCTCTCCACCAGTGTGCCTTGTTTTTCAGGGATCAGAGGATTTCAGAGAGCTCTAGGAAGCTGCTGGGTGGAGTTGGCTGCAGCATCCAAAAGGCAATGGCCTCCCCAGTAGCCACGCTTCAACTCTGGGGCTCACCAAGCACAGAACTCCCAAACTCAATCTGTCTTTGGGGCTCACCAAGCACAGAACTCCCAACGCAAGCAGAGGATTTCATGCTGAACTTCACAAAAACACAGACCCCACGTGGCAGCACGTATTGATCTTCTGTACATGGGAAGGACTCGAGCAATCTGATCTTCCTTGGAGAAGCACATCTCTCCACCAGTGTGCCTTGTTTTTCAGGGATCAGAGGATTTCAGAGAGCTCTAGGAAGCTGCTGGGGCTCACCAAGCACAGAACTCCCAAACTCAATCTGTCTTTGGGGCTCACCAAGCACAGAACTCCCAACCCCAACCTTCAACTCTGTGGCTCACTAAGCACATAACTCAACCCCAACCTGTCTTTGGGGCTAACCAAGCACAGAACTCCCAACCCCAACCAGTCTCTGGAACTCACCAATCACATAACTCCAACCTCAACCTGTCTTTGGGGCTCACCAAGCACATAGCTCCAACCTCAACCTGTCTTTGGGGATCCCCAAGCACAGAACTCCCAACCTCAACGTGCCTTTGGGGCTCACCAAGCACAGAACTCCCAACCTCAACTTGTCTGTGGGGTTCACCAAGCACATAAGTCTCAATGCCAACTTTGATGGGTTTGAAAGCATCAAGCTGTTTGTACAAAGGGGAATTGATTTTTAGAGCCTGTAAGTAAGTATTTTGCATGTTGTTCTCCTGCCTTCTGCATTCATCGAGCCAGCAGAGATTGAGATCAGCTATTTAATCGTTTGATCGATTTTAAGAATAAGATGAAATTGAAAATGGCCAGGTTTCTTCAGCAAAAGGCAGGAGGCCAGAAAGGACATCCGTTGGAAGCATTTACCATCTCACCAGCTCAGCTATTACTCAGATCCATCCTCGCAAATGCAAGCCAACAGTTAACGTAATTGAGGTGAGGAGCTTAATGAGTCCTCAAGAGAAAAAAAACCCAACAGGTTTTTGTCCAAGAGTCTGCACAGGGAGTTGTGGTTGCAGCAGGTGCTCTGGGTGGTGCTGGAGATCCATCACAGCTCTGGAGCACGATGGGCAGCCCCAGAAGATGAAGAACAATGAAAACCTTCCATTTTCAGGGCATACACTAGCAGATACATGAGGATTTTCCTCGCCGATGAAACACGAGGCTGCAGTTTGTTGCCGTGCGGCATCCAAAGGTCTCCTACTTGCACCCACCTTGTTTTCAAAGATGATTTCGATGAATATCAGCAGCAGCTCTGTGAGGAAGATCACCAGAAGGACCCAGAAGAACTGCAAAGAGAAAGGGAAGGATTAGCCCAGCTCCAAGTCAGGCTGTGTCATCTGTCAGTGGTTAATCACGAGGGAGACCTGGAAACCGAGAGCTGCTTCGAAACACTTTGAAATCAGATCATTTCATTACGAGGTCCCCAGGGAGCTGCAAATCTCTTCCAAAGATCTCGGTCCTAACAGGGAAAGCAGTTTGCTCCCTTGTAGAAAGCGTGGCAGGAAGGAAGGATGGATAGATGGATGAATGGATTGAAAAAAGAAACCAGATGCAATTTGAATGACCACATTCTGCACAGGGAAAGGGGTAAAGTGGATGCAGTGGGAGAAAATGTTGTGTAGATACAGGTGTGCAGCGTCCCTGTGTGATGGGATGCTGGCGCTTGGTTGAACATGGATGTTTCCAAGCTGAGCATCCAATGGAGGATCATCCGTCCCCCGGAATACGAGCAATAACTCATCCCTCTGCCAGAACTGATTGGGGCAACAAATTTAGGCTGGAAGTCAATGTCCTGATGGAGCAAACGACTTCATCTAGAAGGTCTGATGTTCTTGCAACCCACATCTATCAGTCTCCTAATGCTTTGGTCCCTATCTGAGAGGTCCCATTGGACATCACATCCAACTTTGCAGAGGATGGAGAGCAAAGCTCTGCTCAGCTCACACTCGTCTCCCCAAGGCTTCCTCCATCAGCAGCTTTGGAGACTCACCAGGAAAAAGAAGAAGATGGAAAGTTACCATGGTAACCAGCTAAAAAATCCAAAAGCAAGTTAAAAAAAAAACCCAACAAAACAAAACAAAAAGGGGGAGAGAGGAAATTTCTGACCACGATATTCACTTTGACTATCGGGTTATTAGAACCAGCACAGGGACCTGCACGCCCAGAAATTATTTCCTGAGCTCAGCAAAACCAAAGCGCCGTTGAAGCAAAACACAACTTCACGCCCCAAACTATCGAGGTTTTGAATTAATCACCTACCAATGAGTTTTGCACCCTGCTTATTTGCTCTGAGCCAGCTAGTGTGGTCCCACTGGAGGAGCAGCACCGCTTTCAACACCAGCTAAATCAGCTTATAACCGGCTGGGTATAATTAGGCAAGGAATCCCATAATTAAGGAATACAATTAGCACCTGTTATCTCATAAGGCAGAGATGATATGCAAAATGCTGCACACACATAAGCTGCTAAAACATGAGTTTGCTTCAGGAGGAAGCCCAAGGCGGCGCAGTTCATGGTTTCACCAAGCTGGGGGTGTCTAGATCTCACCATGCTGCAGCAAGTAGTGAAAAAAAAAATTCAATTTTTGAAATATTTTTGTTCTTCAACCTTAGATAAAACCCAAGGAAAAAAAAATAAATAATACTTTGTCCTTTGTTGACCAGTGCAAAATCTTACCAATCCCACTATGAGCAGAGACAAAAGACTGTGGCTTCAAAGTCCAAGTGGGGACCTTGGACACTGTGTTCATGGTCAGACCAGTGCACCAAGGAACGCCTAAAAATCAGGAGGATGCAGGAGGCAGAGCCTTTCTTCTTGCCAAACCCATGGGACACTCCTCTGAAGCACCAACCCTGTAGCTCTTCCCAGAAATCAAGATTTTTAACCCAAGAGACCCCTTGTGCAGGTTGCTAGACAGTTTTTCGGCTCTTTCTAGTGTTTTGGCCATTGTGCACCAGATTTGGTCCTCCACTCTGTTCACCTTTTTTGATCTCAATTTCTGTGGTACAACCAGTCAAATCAAGATAGAAAAGGCAAGGTTTACATCATACACACACAGAATCCCAGAGTTACCGATTGGAAAAGCCCTTTAAGCTCATCAAGTCCAACCATGAACCCAACACTGACCAGTCCCCTATGACTAACCCATGTCCCTCAGCACTGTGTCTACACGACTCTTCAATCCCTCCAGGGATGGGGACTCCACCACTGCCCTGGGCAACCCCTTCCAATGCCTCAGAACCCTTGCAGCAAAGAAATTCTTCCTCACATCCCATCTCAACTGCCCTGGCCACAACTGGAGCCCATTTTCTCTTGTCCTGTCCCTTGGTCCTTGGTTGAACAGACCCCCCCCCACCTCTCTCCCCCCTCCTCCAAGGGACTTGGACAGAGCCACAAGGTCTCCCCTCAGCCTCCTTTTCTCCAGGCTCAACACCCCCAGTTCCCTCAGCCACAAGGGAACTCAGCACACTTGTGCTCCAGACCCTTCCCCAGCTCTGTTCCCTTCTCTGGACATGCTCCAGCACCTCCATGTCCTTCTTGGACTCAGGGGCCCAAAACTGAGCCCAGCACTCAAGGTGCAGCCTCACCAGTGATTCCCAGTCCAAGGGGTCCATCACTGCCCTGGTCCTACTGGCCACACGGTGCTGATCCAGGCCAGGATGCCCTTGGCCTTCTTGGCCACCTGGGCACTCTGCTGACTCATGTTCAGCCGGGTATCAACCAACACCCCCAGGTCCCTCTCTGCTGATCGGCTCTCCAGTCACTCCTCCCCGAGCCTGTCACGCTGCCGGGGGTTAATTCAACTCAGCCTGCTCTGTGCACAGTGAAATCAAGGCCGGTATTTCAGCTCCACGTTTGATATCTGATTTATAAACAATCGGGGACGTGCTGTGCAGATGTCCATGCGATGCTGGTTGTCCCTGGCTATTAGAAAAATGATGACTGTATGTGGCTTTCAAATGAGGTTCACAGGGAGCAAATCCCACCATTTCCAAGAGAGCAAGCCTCCAAAAAAGCTTAATTATGGTTTTTACAAATGGGGGGAAAGTGCCAGCATTAATTGGGAAGAAGGACACAGCAGATGCCGATTGCAATTCCTTGCAAGAGGGAAACTGCAAACCTGGGAAGTCACATAGGTGATGCCCAGCTCCTCCTGGACACCTCGCAATACGTAACCTCACCTTCAAAAATCCCACAATTTCCCTTATAATTTAAAGAAGATTTGCAAGAAAAGCAAGAACAAACTCAATCTCCAGCACAAGCCTTGGGAATGTGCAACCCGAGTGAAAATCAGCTTTTCTTTCCCCAAAATAACGGCCGAAGGGAGTGTGCAAACCCTCGCCAGCTGCACAGATGTAGCCCAGAGTGGCACTTTTTTTTGCATCGACAAGGATTGCAGCAGCCACTGGTAACTGTAATGCATATTTAGGTGTGAAACTGCTGGTAACATCCACAAATATCCCTTTTAACTAGTGCATTGCAGCCCTCGCTGTCCACCAGACTGAATAAATCAGCTTTTTCTTCCTTAAAAAGACCCCGGTAACAAAATGGAGAGCAAAATACTACATTAAACAGCATTTCATCCTGCCTTGAGCTGCAGCAAGTTAAAAATAAATAAATAAATAAATAAATAAATAAATAAAAAAGCCCAAAGCAGTGTGGGGAGGAGCTGCTTTCCCCCCCCAGTTTTTACAAAAATTCACCTTTTGCATGGAAGCGGTGGCACACGAGCGAGCGGCCGTGCCTCCACGGCGTGACCCTCCGGCCGAGCTGCACCGCTCCCATCCCCGAAAGGAGGCAAACCCTGCGGGAGAGGGACTGGGAAGGTGCCTGAGGATCTCACCCATCACCAGGTGTAAAGCAAAGCCCAGCTTTCACCAAGAGAAATTCCCCAATAAAACCTTCATCTGACTCGAGATGCTGGTGCAGGGGGAAATCGCTCGATTCTTATTAAATTAACACTCGCCGCAGCCAGCTCCTTTTAAAGAGCTCATCAATCCAAAAGCTCACAATGAATTACGCTGCTTAATTCCCTCAAATACCAGGAAAAAATGATTAATCACCCCCGTGCCCATGATCAGCGAAGTTCTGAGTCGCTCCTTCCCTCCTCTAACAAGTCTCCAGTGCCGTTATGTTCATCGTTCATCTCTCCTGAAGCCAAATCGAACGCAGAAGGAAAGCGCCCGGGGCCCACGTTGTGCCTCAGGTTTAAAGCCTCGTTCCAATTTGAGGAACAACCCCTTTCATTAGGGATAAGCCGTACAGAGGTTACCTGCAGCGATCCTTTCCCGAACGTCCTCTGGGTGTTTGGTTTTCTGCCACCTCTGTATGGCAAACAGGATGTCTTATCATAGATTCACAGAATCGTTTTGGTTGGAAAAGACCTTTCAGATCATCGAGTCCAACCATGAACCCAACACTGACCAGTCCCCTATGACTAACCCATGTCCCTCAGCACTATGTCTACATGACTCTTCAATCCCTCCAGGGATGGGGACTCCACCACTGCCCTGGGCAACCCCTTCCAATGCCTCACAACCCTTTCAGCAAAGAAATTCTTCCTCACATCCCATCTCAACTGCCCTGGCCACAACTGGAGCCCATTTCCTCTTGGCCTGTCCCTTGGGCCTTGGTTGAACAGACCCACCCCCACCTCTCTCCACCCTCCTCCAAGGGACTTGCACAGAGCCACAAGGTCTCCCCTCAGCTTCCTTTTCTCCAGGCTCAACACCCCCAGTTCCCTCAGCCACAAGGGAACTCAGCACACTTGTGCTCCAGACCCTTCCCCAGCTCCGTTGCCCTTCTCTGGACACGCTGCAGCACCTCCATGTCCTTCTTGGAGTCAGGGACTTGTTCAGTGAGCTGGCGTTTACTATATAGTGTGTTTTAGTGGTTTTTTCTATACAAATGTATAGAATAAAAGTAGCTGTGGATCTCAGATTTGAGGTGGAGCAGCAGCTCTCTGGAGCAGAGGTGGAACTTTCAACTTTGCTTGAGAAGTGTTTGAATTGATTTGCATTGTGGACTATTACTGAAAACTACTACTTTGATAGGAAAAGCCAGAGGGAACACCAGCAGTCCAGAGAATCCTCTCACAGAATCATCAAATCTTGTGAGTTGGAAGGGACCCACAAGGATCATCGAGTCCAACTCTTGCCCTAGAATAGATTTTGGGCAGGGCAGGAGGGCTCTGGAAAGCTGAGTGTGATTCATCTCACTTATCATCAAGTCTAATCTCCCAGAAGCTAACAAACCACCTGAAATACTGTGTTGGTCCAAAGGAAAC